CCTTGATATGCAAAATTACCTTGATGATAGCAGTCAAGAGCTAAATGACCATATTTACCACAAATTTGACATTCTAACATGTTTGGACTATAATTTGGATGCCTATAAAAACAATTAGGTTCAGTATGTACCCTATGTTGACAAATTTGACATTTAGGTTGCAAATTAAATCGAGTATCAGTATTTCCAGACAAAGGTTACCAACCATTTTGTCTTTAATTGTAGTTAGAACCCCTGCCTTTGTTGTTAAACTGTTTGTATCCACCACTATGTGACCCTCCACAAGAATTTTGATATGTTAAAGAAGATCGTGAACCATAATTGTTGAAACCAGGTGATGAGCTACCATTAAAATCAGATGAAGGATTGCCATTAAGTCCAGGAGGAGCATTGCCAGTGAAACCAACACCAAAACCATATGGCATGGATTGTGAAGGAGGAAACTGTTGAGGAAATTGCTGAGGCATCTAGGTGATGTATTATAAACTAGCACTCAAATTACACCCCCTTATTGACAATTGTAGTAAAGATGTAATAAGGATCGTTCTAGGCGAGGGATTAGGAGGGATTGCTAACCTACTTAAAACTAACTTAAAAACACAAAACTAGCTTAAAAACACTTAACTAGACTCAAAGAAATCAAAACAAACTAACAGACTCAAACTAGACACTAAACGGTGATTTGGATGAAAATTAATTTTAACTTGACTCAAAACACTTAAAAACACAAGTTAGATAGATTCTAACTAATTTAACACAACAAAAAAAGGGGGATTGGGTTTTTGACGAATTTAAAGTAAAGACAAGTAGATTAAAGACTTAAACAAGTTTGGCACGAAATTGGGGGAAATTATGGGTAGTTGGCTAGCTAGAGGGTCATTCTCCACATATAACACACTTGCATACAAATCGATTTCCAGTTGCTTTTCCAATAAACCATGAACCTCAACGCCCCAGATTAACTGTGAACATCACTAATTAACCCTCAGATTTTCGTTAAGTCATTGAATTGGATGGATAACGTATCGGCAACCAAATTATTCTTCAATAGTTCCCTACATGAACAACATAATAGAGATACAATCAAAGATTATTAAGCTTTGTGAAAATCATAAGCATTGATAAGGAATTCGTAACTATGAACAGCATGATACTCCTGCCAGGAATTTACTTAACACGATTGTGAACATACATCTCCAGGCCATACGACAGGGCCTGGAGATGTGTGTTCTAAGGGGAATCCATGAATCAGGGGAGGCGCTGGAGGTGGAGTCCGATTCAAAAGGTTTGGTTCAAATGTTAAATAAGGAGACTCAAGCTGATGTGTTGATGGAGGTCTATTTGGTTGATATTTGGAATATGATGCAGTTATTTCAATCGGTGAAGTTTATCTTTACCCTTCGACAATGCAATCGTTCAGCCCATATAGTGGCGGCCTCCGTTCTTAAGCATGGAAGGAGATTTAGTTAGAATGAATTAAGACCTAAATTTTTGTTTAATGTTCTAGTAGAAGATGCAAATTTTTTCATTGGTATTTAATTATTAATATAATTCTATCATTTGTTCATAAAAAATAAAAATAAAATAAAAAAAGAAAAAAAAGACAATTAGTTTGACAAATTTTTTTCAGGAAACAAAAATAGAACGTTCTCCGGTCCCAAAGACCACGAGCCAACAGAAAACCCAATTAATTATTTGTATGATTACATTCCTCAAATAAAACATTATAACATGAAAGAAGAGTCGCCCCGACCCCGACAACAAATCTAAAAGCAATACATGAATGAAAGATTGTGTCTTCGATGGTTCTTCTTTCCTGTGGTGGTGGCGGCTTTGCGACGATGGTGTCAATATTTGGCAGGAGGTGGTTGGTTCCTTTGTTCAAATCTAGGATTTCTTTCCTTTATGATGTTATGTCTCTGTTATTGGATATGGTTATGTGTTCCTTTATGTTGGGATTGTTTTGTATTTTCTGTAAATATTTTTGTTTCTTTTTTTCGTTAGTGCAGTTATATTGTTATCGATTATGACAAGAAAAAAAAATAATTGTGTAAAGAAAATCGCTGCTAACCATTCCAAAATTATATTATCAAGATGTAAGTCTAGAATAATAATTCTTCTTTATTCATATTTGTGCTTCACTTTATGAAGAATAATTTGAGTCCACATCACATTATCTTACCATTGCAAATTCACAATCGTAATTTACTGCATCCGCATAGGTGGTCAATCCAACGGCCACCACCCGATATCAGGTTACCCCAAGAGGCGACACGTGTCGTCATCTTCATAGAAGCGACGAGACGACTGAGGATTCACTACAAAAGGTGACCCGGGCTGTTTATTGGGCCCCGCAAAATCAACTAATCCGACGGGAAGTAGTTGCGTTGTGCCCCATTCGTGGGAAGGAGATGGTTGGTTTAGTTACGAAATTGCCCTGCGGACTACGAGCCAGTAGTTGATGAAAAAGATTTATTTTCTGTTTGTTTTTGGTACAAAGGAAGGCCTACAACGAAGGACCAAATCTTGCTAATTTATCCTCAACTCTAAGTGTGCTGAATCCTTCATTTGTCACCATGCATTGAAAATATATAAGACGTCATCAGATTAAAAAGAGCATGCAGAGGATCACAAGCCGACTAACCTAACATATATGCAATTTTAGAACCTTTTTTAACTAATTTTATTCAACTTGTCATTTGAAAAATATAGGCATGTTGAAGGATGTAATTTCACATCGAAAATATGACAGAAGTAACTAATACTTATAAATGAATTGCTTCACTGTTAACAACACTAAAGTTTGTTGTGATAGAACTCAACACATGCTGTGTTGTACATGTGGTAAAATTTGGACAGTATCAATGTGATTAATAGTGGACCGCATACTTAACTCTAAAATCTTAACAAAACATACTCTCTAATGCGCCCATGCTTAACCCTAGTTTTACCCTTACTATACATATGCTTCGTTGAGCATTCACAGAAGAGGAATTCAAAAACCAATTGACACACAATATTCTGATCTATGTGCTATAAACTACAAAAAACCAATAGTTTGTTTGGGATTGTTTTGGGAATGGACAAAAGTGTTTTTGGCCAACTGAGAGTGCTGTGGATTACATTTGGAATATGAAGTTTAAAGTGTTTATGAATCTTAAAAGCATTTTTTCCTTTAGAGAAGAACTTACTTGAAACTACGTAGAAGTGCTTCTACATCTCTAAAAGTCAAATTACATGAAGCCATAAACCAACGAAAAGGTCGAGTTACGCCTTCATGCTGTTACGCTTTTGAGGGGCACTATGGTAACTTCATGATTAATGTCGAGTTACGCCTTCATGCTGTTACGCTTTTGACAGACAGAAGCCGAACAGAGGCTGAGAGCGAGGGAGATAGAGAGGGAGAGAGAGAGAGAGAAAGAAAGAGGGGGAGAGAGAGAGAGAGAGAGAGAGAGAGAGAGAGAGTGCCGAAGGAAAGCGCGCGCACGAGAGAAAATTAGAGGGAAAATAGTTGCAGAGGTTCTTCTTCTTTCTCTTTCAGGGAGGATAAAAGGTCCGCCATTGTTACCCCTCTGCAACAACATTTCCCATGTGAGACCCCTCGTCCAATTCCCTCCAAACACACCAAATTACAATTTGCCACGCCAAGTCCGTAACAGTCGGAGCGACATTGTCGTCCTCTTACGTGCGTGCTGCTGCAGCTCTGAGCTTTGAGAAATTGGGCACGCATCGGTGGATTTGTTCCTACATTATTTCTCTGAAGAGAAGAAACCCCATGTTTTTTTCGACATTAGGTGGCGGCGGTTGCTGAAGGGTTCTAGGGTTTTGGGTGCTCTGCCTCGGATCTGAATCTAATCAGATTTTTCGTCTGCAATGGTAGCTTTCTCCCATTTTCTTGGTCTCCAAGTTTTTGAATTTTTTTTCCTCCTGTTAATTTTAACTTTTGACAATTTGTTGCTTTTGCAATTCTAATTTTGATCAAAGTTCAATGCACTGATTTTTTTAATGAGACTTGATTCTTAGCAAAGTTGAGTATATTGGGGGGGGGGGGTTAATTCGTTGCTTCAGTAACATGGGATTGTTGGAATTGTTTGATTATAGTTTAAGGCAGTTAAAATTTCGTAAATGTTCGTTCTTTTGTCGTGGTAATTCAAAATTAAGACATGTACATTATTCAAGTTCATATTGTTAGTAAAATTATTGAAATTAGCAGTTTTCCTGTGTAATTTAGTATAAACTAAGAGAGGATATAATCGGGCTGTAAACAGTCACTGAAGAAATGGCTTTCCACCATGTAAACGCTACTAATATTTCTCAACATAATTGGTGTAAAGATGGCTGCATTGTCGTTATTGCTGGAGTTTGAATTGCATTAACCTACCGGCCATGAAGCAATGGTTAATGCAAGTAATCAAAATTCTGTGTCATGAAGCGAAGTCAATGCAAGCCAGAATTGTGATACTATGACAGTAAATGAATGCCTGGCTTCAAACACTAATGCTTCTCCCTTGTATGCTTCATGTGTCCTAAGGTGGTGCCTTATTGATGTCGTTCAGATGGAATATTTATCAATAAGAAAATAAAAGTTTGAGTCTCTTTTACAACACATCTTTGGCCATTGTGTAACGGTTTTTAGTGCTTCAGTTATTCTTATCTTGACAAATGAGAAGCTTATGAATCTGAAAGAGCTTAAGTCCACCTTTATCATATGAATGGATGCTATTGATTCTACACCAGAAGTGCATCCAACATTCTGGATAAGTGTTTGATGCTTCCTTCAATCAGAATGTGATTATTAAGTATATCAAATGCAATGTATGCTAAATGAGTATCACGTCACAGTTTTGTTGTAGAATCTTTTTTTTGAGTTCAGAATTATAATTGCATCATAATCTCGCTGTCTAATGCTTGCTTTTCGTGTCTGTTGTGTATCAATTTCTTGGTGATTTTAAAATTAAAGATCTGGCTTGCTCTTTCTTATGGACGAGCTGATTATTTCAATGTCCACACAGGCTGCCAATGTCAGTTTGGCGGTTGGATCTCATGTTTGGGTCGAGGATCCTGAGGAAGCCTGGATTGATGGAGAAGTTGTAGGAGTCAATAATGAAGAGATTGAAATAAACTGTACATCAGGGAAGACGGTCAGTGCTGCTTTTGATTTCAAAATTCTTATTGAGCCTTGCTTCCAGTTTTGTTAGCCAACATATAACTTAATGTCGAACTTCAGCATGACTTTGTTTAGCACCTAAAATTCAAATGCAGAGCTATCACACAGAGGGCCTAGAAGAGCTATCATGTTTGTAGGAAAAGTGAGAACGAATAATGTTAAAAACACTTACTAGATTGGTAGAATCAAAATGTTTTACTGGCATAGTATATCCACATCAAATCAAATAATGTTCTCTGTTGACTGAATAATGACTCAATTTTCATTTGACTACATGTATTTCCTGTTCCTCATTTTACATTTCCTTTTGACATAGACAGAGCCATCATGTTTATTTATTTTTCAACAGAAGCCTTCCTGTTTATTGCATGTATATTGAAATCTAGTGACTGGTCATCCTTGTATATTACTAAATTTCATGATCATCTCATTGACTATTTTCCCCCCTTTTGTTGTAGGTTACGGTCAAAGCATCCAGTGTCTACCCAAAGGATCCTGAATTTCCTCAATGTGGTGTAAACGATATGACAAAGTTGGCTTATCTGCATGAACCAGGGGTTTTGCAGAATTTAAAAAGTCGATACACTATAAATGAAATATATGTGAGTACTACCCAGACATACCCTCTCTGTTGACCGATTGGTAGATTTATTTTTGTTTAAATCCTTTTCACCTCAAGCATATGTGAGTTCCTAAAAGTCATCTATGTCATGTTATTTCCCAAAATTGCATTCTCTTCACCTCTCAATTATGGTCTTTAAACATGGATTTTTTTGTGCACAGTCAATACTGTAACTGACAATATCTTTTTAAGAGGTATGACTTTAAGTGTAGACGGATCTAAACTCCATAATGTATTTCCAGACTTATACAGGAAGTATATTGATAGCTGTGAACCCCTTCCGGAGGTTACCTCATTTATATGATAATCATATGATGGAGCAGTATAAAGGGGTGGCTTTAGGTGAGCTGAGTCCACATCCTTTTGCTATTGCTGATGCTGCCTACAGGTACTTTGTTGAACTTTTCCATTGGATTCACATTTAAAGTGTGTGGTGTGACTTAAAATAAAAAGTATTTTTTTAATGCAGACAGATGATTAACGAGGGAATAAGCCAAGCAATTTTGGTCAGTGGGGAAAGTGGAGCCGGAAAAACAGAAAGTACAAAGATGCTTATGCGTTATCTTGCCCATATGGGTGGGAGAGCTGTATCTGAGGGGCGGTCTGTGGAACAGCAAGTCCTGGAGGTAACAAGTTTACGATGTTCTTACTCGTGTAGTAGTACACTAGCATTACAGTTCTATTTTCGTTGTCTTCTAAAGTTGTCTATAATTCATGACTTTTTTGGGAAGTGACATGCGCTAGTGATAAAATCCATTCCTTCACTTATTTTTTATTTATTTTTAATGGCAGTCTAACCCTGTTCTTGAAGCATTTGGTAATGCAAAGACTGTCAGAAATAATAATTCCAGGTGGGAACCTTGTTTCTTTTTCTTCTACCTGGATTACTAGTTAAAATAATTTTTTTACAAGTCTGATGGGATGGCTAATCTTACAGTGGAAGGTTATTATTAAGAGCGTATCTCTTTCAGTTATGTCTTCTATTCATTTGGGTTAATTTCCGCTCTAATTGAGCTTAACATAATTGCAGTCGTTTTGGTAAGTTCGTGGAGCTTCAGTTTGATAAAACGGGCAGAATCTCAGGAGCTGCCATTAGAACTTATTTATTGGAGCGATCCCGAGTTTGTCAAGTATCTGATCCAGAGAGAAATTACCATTGCTTTTATATGCTCTGTTCTGCACCTCCAGAGGTAAAATGATCTCCATCTCCTATACACATACAATATGTTCTACATATGGTCAGGTGCTATTATATAAAGGCATGATTAATTGTCTCTGACTAAAAAGTAAATACTTTGAATTAGAAAAAAACCAGAAAATCACTGGATAATATAGATGCTAGTTGTATTAACTAAATTATTCTACTGCTCGGTGCTCACCATTCCTAAATTGATATGGATTTCTAGTTTGTTACTAGCTGTTGGTGCGTTTGTGTGGAATTTTTGTTGCATGGTAGTGCCACTCTTGGTCATTTAGAGTGGGAGTTTAGTTTGAGATGATTAAACCTAAGAACAGTTCCTTGTCAAAATGACATAACTAGTTCTTGATATAAATTTCTAACATTTGGATGTTTTTCTTGTGCCTACGTTCAGGATGTCGAGAAGTACAAATTGGGAAATCTAAGAACATTTCATTATTTAAATCAGTCAAACTGCTATGAGCTGGATGGGGTGGATGATTCTGAGGAGTACCTCACAACTAGGAAAGCTATGGATGTGGTTGGGATCAGCTCTGATGAGCAGGTATGTCACTGGATAGCTATGAGCATTAAATTTTCTGTCAAATATATTGACGATTGTTCTGCTTTTTTTAGGATGCAATATTTCGAGTTGTAGCTGCAATACTTCATTTAGGCAATGTTAACTTTGCAAAAGAGAATGAAACTGATTCTTCTGAACCCAAGGATGACAAATCTCGGTTCCATCTCAGAACTGCTGCTGAACTTTTCATGTTCGTGTCCATTGCTTTATGCTGTTTTTTGTTGTTGTAAATATCCACATGTGATTTTTGGATGTTTTCATACGTAAATGGCTAAACTTTTGTCTACAATTTATGTTAGGTGTGATGAGCAATCTCTTGAAGATTCTCTGTGCAAACGTGTGATTGTGACCCGTGATGAGACCATAACGAAAAGCTTGGATCCAGATTCTGCAGCCATCAGTAGAGACGCATTGGCCAAAATTGTTTATTCAAGATTATTTGATTGGTAGGTTTATGAATTCACTAGTTAGTTCATCGTTCAGCAAAAAACTTTCTTCATTGACATATATCTGGTTCTTATTGTTTTTTTTTTTATTTTTTTTTATTTTTTTATGTGATGAACTGATTGCCCCAGGCTTGTGAACAAGATAAATAACTCTATTGGTCAGGATCCTGATTCCAAAAATTTGATTGGAGTTCTGGATATTTATGGATTCGAGAGTTTCAAGACAAACAGGTGCTTAAGTGGTATGCTTTTATTTTCATCGTTTAAAGATTAAATTATTTCAGTGGACTGCATCGATTCCTTCTGTTTTTTGGACTGGGATCTTGATTGGGAAAGTTAAAAGTATTTGTGGCTGTATGATGCCATTTAAATCCAGAGACATTTTCCTTTACACTAAAATCCTGAATAATGTCCTAAATGTTTTTTTCGCGCAATCACATCTGGTTCTGAAAACTTTCAACTGATACCACAGCTTTTGCTTCTATCAATGTCCTAAGTGTTTTATTCGTGTTATCACTTCTGGTTCAGAAAACTTTCAACTAATATCACAGCCTTTGCTTCTATGCATTATTCACTAGTGCAAAACTTGACTGCTCACACATTTCTGTGACAGCTCTGTTCTGTTCTCTCTTCTTAGGTTGGCTTGGTTGCTTTGTTTATATTCTTGAGTTGAGTCCTCATGTGTTTAATTTTAAAACTGTTAACTGGTGTGCAGCTTTGAGCAATTTTGTATCAATTTGACAAATGAAAAATTGCAGCAGCATTTCAACCAGGTGTGGGCATGGATACATAATATGTATTCTTTGGTATTCTTGGATCCTCCCGACTGCTCTCATTTACTCAATTAAGTGTCAACATTCTGCTTGACAGCATGTGTTCAAGATGGAGCAAGAAGAATATACTAAAGAAGAAATTGATTGGAGTTACATAGAGTTCATCGATAATCAGGATATTCTTGATCTCATTGAAAGGGTATGCCAGTTTTCAATAATTTTGATTAAGGTCTGTTCATTTTTCCTTTGAATTAAACATATTATTTTCTTTGCTTTTTATATCGTGTTTTGTCTTTCTGATATATGCTTTTATCATTTCAGAAGCCTGGTGGCATCATTGCTCTTCTGGATGAGGCTTGGTATGTACTGGAATATAAAATATTAATACGATGCCCCCTCCCTCCTCTTAAGATATCAACTTGTTGACTATTTACTACGAACTATTTTTCATTTATTTCTTGTGATTTGGTGACAAGCTCTTGTTATTCTTTGTAGTATGTTCCCAAGATCAACACATGAAACATTTTCACAGAAGCTTTATCAAACTTTCAAAGACCATAAACGTTTTAACAAGCCAAAATTGTCGCCTACCGACTTTACCATTTGCCATTATGCTGGCGATGTAAGTTTTGAATTCAACACTAACCTCGTATATAAACTACACCAGACTAATCAAACCCTATCAAGGAGAAGTTATCAACTTGCTTGATGTTTATGTCGTTGGAAAATTTGGTTTTCAGGTTACTTATCAAACAGAGTTCTTCCTGGATAAGAACAAAGATTATGTTGTTGCAGAGCATCAAGCACTCCTTAGTGCCTCCAAATGCTCTTTTGTTTCAGGCTTGTTCCCTCTTTTACCCGAAGAATCTGCCAAACAATCAAAGTTCTCATCAATAGGTTCTCGATTCAAGGTCCCTTTCTGTTCTAAATTTCTAATGAAGCTTATGCTCGTTCATCAGTGAAATTTTGTTTATGTTTTTTTTTGTTTTTATGTGTTATCATCTTCTTAAACAGCAACAATTGCAATCATTGCTTGAAACGCTAAGTGCCATTGAGCCTCACTACATACGCTGTGTAAAGCCAAATAATCAACTCAAACCGGCCATATTTGAAAATAGTGCTGTTTTACAGCAGCTTTGCTGCGGGGTAAGCATAGTGTGTAGCCCCAAAAAAAAAAAAAAAAATTACCGGTTGCGCTTTGCATAGTAATGCAGTATGACTTGGTATGTATCTAATGCAGGGAGTAATGGAGGCAATTCGGATTAGTTGTGCTGGATATCCAACTAGAAAGACCTTTGCAGAATTTACAAGTCGTTTTAAAATTCTGGCACCTGAGGTTCTAAATGGAAGGTAGTTTCATGAAATTCTCTGAATATCAATTAATCTCTCTCTCTCTCTCTCTCTCTCTCTATATATATGTATATTCTTTGATTTCATGCATCTGTAAGGTAATCTAGACACTGGGCTTTTCTCTAATACTTTGATGCATGTTGCTTTCCGTTGGTGACTATAGAATTTGTCTCACGATTCCCAACCTGCATTAATGGACTATCGATCTATGTATTTATCTTTCTGGAACATCATCAATGTCTCCACCAATTGATCCCACTGACCACACATTGTATTTAACACAATGAAAATGAATGTACTATATTTGCACTACCTATGTAGAACTTCATGGATGCCCTGCAACAGTTGATTGCATTGACCGCACAATGAACTCAACATGATTAACGTACTATATATTTACAACAAAGATATATGCATTACGGTGCTACATTTATTTATCTATGTAGGTGTCTGTTTTCCTTTTTTTTTAAGGATGTGTATTGATGTTGCACAAGAGTAATGGACCACGTACACAGCATAAACTATAACAGTTTTATGGCTGGGGGAAAACAAGTGTTTTGCGAACTATATTGGGATAGAGGAGTTGCTGGGTAAAGTTAGATTTGAATCATCATTTTGTGCTTCAAACAGTAAAGAAATTCTCACTAGTTGGAAAATAACTGATCTGTGATATTCTAATCACTTAGGGCTTAAGGTCCTGTTTTGATGGAGAAAATTCTATTGTTTTGTAGGCTAGTTTTCATCGTCTGCTTAAGTTGGATATCTTGCACTTGAAATCTATTACGCAGATTTTTAGTGTTAGGATTTCTTCGTCTTGGTTTTTCTGTAAAAGTTCTGTTAACTTTCTTAGTTTATTATTTTCAGCGTTGATGAGGTCACCGCATGCAAGAAGCTTTTACAAAAGGTCAACCTCAAGGGATATCAGGTATTTCAAACAATTCTGTTGCTTTCACACAGTTATTTGGAGCTACGGTTAGATTTTATCACATTTTTTTAAATTGTTAAATAATTAAGTGGCAACTCATTATTTTTCCACTCCTGTAGTTGTTTTTCTGCATTCATTTGCTTAAAAGGGATGACAGTTTTCTTGTCACATAGATCTTGTCTTTATATTGCAGTATAGTGTTACTGCACTGCGATTGGAAAATCTACTTTTTCAGGAATCAAGCTGCTTTTTACCACCAAGCTTTACATGATCCTAACCTACAATCTTTTGTAGGGTTAAAAGGACACTCTTCCTGATATGTTTCTGTTGCAGGTTGGGAAAACAAAAGTGTTCCTCAGGGCTGGCCAGATGGCAGAATTAGATGCTTATCGAAGTGAGGTATTGGGAAGATCGGCTAGCGTTATGCAGAGAAAAGTTCGCTCCTACCTATGTCGCAAAAAATTTGTCTTGTTGCGGTTGTCTGCCATCCAAGTCCAAGCCTTATGTAGAGGTACGGAAGAATTTTCACCTTGTACTTCTTGGTGATTTGTTGCCTTATAGCCCAACAGCTGGTACTAAGAGTTTTTTTTTTTTCTTTGACTGATTGCAGGACAAGTTGCACGCCATCGATATGAAAACATGAGAAGGGAAGCTGCTTCTGTGATTATCCAGAAATATGGTCGCTCGTATCTTTCTAGGAATGATTATAAAAACTTGTGCTCTTCAGCTGTTTCTATTCAAACTGGTATGCGAGGGCTGGCTGCTCGTAAGGAGCTTAGGTCCAGGAGGAAAACAAGGGCTACAACTGTGATACAGGTGAAGATTACATTTCGTTTTTAGTATAGCAATAATTTCTGAGATATATGGGATTTCATGATTTAGTATAGCAATAATTTCTGAGATATATGGGATTTCATGATTTGCTCAATATCTCAATACAATTTCTTTATCTTTTTCTTGTACAGTATAAGAAAATGTGATAAAAAAGCTTACCAAAATGAAAAGTTTATTTATTTGTTTTATTTCCCAAAATTCAAGTGATAGAGAAGAGAAACCCCTGTTGAGAGAAAGGCTATTAAAAGAGAAAACCAAATGTACCAGATCCTTATTCCGAAATTTATATTTAGGTTTTCTTTAGTTTAAGGCTGGTTGTTGTAGTTCTCTGTTGGTTTTAAGTTTGTCATCTCTTTTATGCTTTTATGGTTTTACGCACTGATTCTGATTATTATTACAGAGTCATTGCCGGAAACACTTAGCCCATGCTCGTTATTTGAGGATGAAGAAAGCAGCTATTGTGTGGCAATGTGGTTGGAGACAAATAGTTGCTCGTAAAGAGTTGCGGAAGCTAAAGATGGTGATACCTTCTTCCTTTCTTTCTTTTGAATTTTTTAGCTTTTGATTTTCTCCTCTTGCTTTTTTGACGCCTTGTCTTACCTTTGTGGGTCTGCTTGTTAACTTCGTTTCCATATGTTGCAATCTGGCGAGTATTTTCTCACAGTGTCTTTTGCTATGTAAATTTCCATGCTATTTGTATTTAACAAGCTTTTGTCTTGTCTATAATCCACATCTGCAATCTGGTCAAATTTGTTGGTTTTCATTAAGGGTGAAAATAATACTTGAGTACTTTAGCTATGATACTGGAGTAGGCAACTGTAGTTTGATCATGCTCTGCATTTGATAGTGTTCTCTCTAGCGTTTTCTTTTGCCAAATTCTATTTTTCTACTGTTTAATTCTCAACCTAAAACACCTCAAGATCTTGACTCAGCTGCTTTGCTTCTTTGGCCTCGTTCAGAACGCAATGGAATTCCTATTTCAGTTCATTTGGTGGTTTGAGTCCACAATTTTGTCATATATACTTTTATATTTTGTGTTTGAAATGACAAAGTGCTCTAGAACTCAATTGAAAAGGCTAAAAAAGTGATGATTTCTTTAACAAGAAAAAAAGCTAATTATGTCGGATCTGGTTTTATGGACTTCCTTTATCTTGTCTAAGTGATGAGTTCAACCATCAAGAAGACGCATTCTAAAAGATAGTAACAACTAATGAAAATCATGGTCAAGTGATCTCTCTCTCTCTCTCTCTCTGGTACCTTATTTGAAAGTTTGTTCCAAACCTATGTATACTGGTTTCAATCAGTGTATATGCAAAATGAGCATTATATTTTTAAATTAATTTATCTTTTTCTCAGGCTGCAAAGGAAACTGGTGCTCTCCAAGAAGCCAAAAATAAGCTGGAAAAGGAAGTTGAAGAGCTAACCTGGCGCCTGCAGCTGGAGAAGCAAATGAGGGTAACGATCCCTATCTTCTCTGTGATATGTTAATGCATAATATCCTACGTAACTACCATGACTGTAATCATGTAATCATTATTTGACTGTCTTCTTGTGTATGGATATGCCAATCAGCTAAAGTTATCCACAAAAATAAACTATGATGGTATGATTTCCTGGTGAATACTCCAATCTTTCCATTTGTTAAAGTTTCCTCATATTCGTGCCTTTGAAATATTTGATATAAGGCTGTAAGGCTGTAAAAGCATTCTGTTTGTAGGCTGAAAAAGAATTGTGTTTTTATATTTTCTGCTTGGAGTTCTCTACGAAATTTGGTTCATGCAGTAACAACTCCTTGGTTAGAAAAGAAATGTACGCTTTGAAAGGATTAGGACTAAAACCATCTTTCCAAGTCTAACAATAAATTCTATTTGGTTCAAAGAATAAACAAATATATTTCCGTACTCTCTCTTCTCCTCTCTATTTTATCGCTCTCTCAGATTAAGCCTATTTGGCGCCTGCATCTTGTGTGCTGTCCTATATCATTGGTTCACCATGTAACTTTGGTTTCAATTGTTATTTATACATCCATTTGGATTCTTGTTGATTAAGGTTCTTAGATTAACAAGAGCACAAGGAATAAAGCTATTTTGACTTTTATATAGTAAGTTTGAAAGTGTTACGTTATATGCATAACAAGAGAGGGATTCTTTAAATGCAGGCTGACATGGAAGAGGCCAAAACAAAGGAAAATGCGAAGTTGCAGTCTGCTTTGAAAGAGATGCAACTTGAATTTCAAGAAACTAAATCCCTGCTTATGAAGGAACGTGAGGCTGCAGCAACAGCGTCAGAGGAGGCAGCAAAAGCGGCTGAGGCTGCAGCAAAAGTGGCTGAACAAGTGCCAGTTGTACAGGAGGTTTCAGTTGTTGATCAGGAAATAGTCAATAAGCTTACTGCTGAAAATGAGCAGCTCAAGGTAAAGGCACTAAAACTCTTATATGCATTTGTTGGTCTTGCATATTTCAGGTATATAAACTATAAAGTGAAGATTTATGATTGCATTCAAATATACAATTGCCAGGTTTTTTTGCCTTTGTTGTTTTTTTTTTTTTTTTAAATGATTTTTAGCCCTGATCTTTGCAGGCCCTCGTAGACTCACTGGAAAAGAAGATTGATGAAACAAAGAAAAAGTTTGAAGAAACAAGCAGGCTCAGTGAAGAGCGGCTCAAGCAGGCTATGGAGGCAGAATCAAAGATAATTGATTTGAAGACTGCCATGCAGAGGTTCTTTCTTGACTTCTGTCAAATTGGATTAGGATATATCACTGATTGTTACTCTGACAGTGAATTTTCATTCCTCAGGCTAGAAGAAAAACTTTCTGACATAGAAACCGAGGACCAAATTTTGCGTCAGCAGGCATTAAAGATGTCAGCTTCTATGAAAATGTCAGAGCATTTGGCGGGAAAAGAAACTCAGGTAGGCTTCCCATAGGAATGTTTGTTTCACATTGGTCCTGCTAAGAACATTTTATTGATTTTGTTTCTCCCCTATAATTGCAGCCTTTGGGGAATGGTCATCATGTAAGTGAATAATTTAAATCAAGGCGTTGTTTACCATAGCTGGTGTTTATTTGTTGTTCTTTGTACGATCCTAAGGTTTGATTTAATGTAGGAACCACTGAGACCTACACCGTCAAAGAAATTTGGCTCAGAGTCTTTCAGGAAATCCCAAATTGAAAGACACATGTATGTAGTTGAGAAGCAAATCATTCTTTCCAATTTTTTTTTCTTTCTTTTTTCTTTGTTTACTCTATCTATTTTATTTTTTCTTTACTTTTCCTCATGAAGCTTATTCTGCATTATTGATGTATTTGGTGCAGGAGGGTGTAGATACTCTTATGAAATGCGTGACAGGTAATCTTGGGTTCAGTGAAGGAAAGCCAGTTGCCGCAATAACACTATACAAATGTCTTCTCCACTGGAAATTATTTGAAGCGGAAAAAACTAGTGTATTTGACCGACTTATTCAGATAATTGGTTCTGAAATTGAGGTAAATTATTATCCATTATAAATTTTGTTTTACTAGTAATTTAGAACTGAACCAGTCATCAAAGCAGAGACGGGAGAGCATAGGGGGCTTTCACAATTTCTGTTGCATTGAATTATTTTACAAGACTTCTATGCTAACTGATGAGTGTATTTGATCATGAATTCTATAATTTGAAGGGGGTGCTTTTCCTCATAGTGTTTTTTTTTTTCGGTTACTATCAATTTCTTGAATCTGAATACAAAACTACAGACTGTTGAATTTTGTATAGCACACAAGAAACTCTCTAAAGATGTGTCCCATGTTCATGAAGAACCACTTTTGCTGAAAATTAGACAAATCCAAACCTACTTAGGCATCTAAATGTAATCAACTAAATATAAATATGTAATTTAACCTGAAACCATTTAGGCATCTATATATGTGCACGTTATATATCATATATGGATTTATGAATGACATATATGTTTGTTGCAGGACCAGGATAACACTGATCATATGGCTTATTGGCTTTCCAATACATCTACATTGTTGTTCTTGATCCAGCGGAGTTTAAGAACTGCTCCACGAAAACCTCCTACTCCTACGTCTTTATTTGGAAGGATGACGCAAGTAATGAAATCTATTTTATCCATGTACCATTTTGATATTTTTTGGGTATCGGATTTCTTTCTTCTTGTGCCTGATATCATATGATGTTCTTGCTTCGTAGGGCTTCCGATCGTCTTCTGCCAATCTTTCAGTTGGTGCTTCTGATTTAGTGCGTCAGGTTGAGGCCAAGTATCCGGCTTTGCTCTTTAAGCAACAACTTACAGCATACGTAGAAAAGATGTATGGAATCGTCCGAGACAATTTGAAGAAGGAATTATCACTTCATCTTTCTTCTTGCATCCAGGTACAATGAAGTTTGGTATTTCATCATTGGAGTTTGGCATGAGTTTTTACCTTGGTTCTTATATTCTTTTAGGTCCTAGGATGGAAGAGTAATTGCTTTCAGCTTTAATTTCTCCTATTAACTTTTGCTATGCTCCTGGGTTCATATCTTCTAGAAGTAAGCATGTGATTTAAATGCTAGTGTGAAGATTACCTCTGGTCATTTTCATAAATTTTTGCCATGGGCCGGTAATTTGTACCATCTGATTTAAGAGCTATGTTAACACGGATGCCTTCTATACCAGTTTGCTTAGGTTTGTGATTCATTTTGTTACGTAAGTTGGTGCGAATGCAAGTTAGGTACCTTGGTTGCTGTGTCAAAATTTTGGTTGCCAAGAATTAGCTTTGATTGATGAAACGTTGTGGTTAAGTATCCTAGGGTTTTCTTACATGAAACATTTCAGTTTATTATATCCTATGGTATCATTTAGTTAATTCGGGCCACAACTTTCCTTGATAATTCAGGCACCCAAAACACCAAAAAGTGGTGTTTCAAAATCACCTGAAGGATCAACTGGTAACAGTCCTCAGGCTAATCCTTGGAATAGCATCATTGCAAATCTTAGTGGGTTTCTCTCTACATTGAAAGAAAATTGTGTAAGCAATTATTCTTGACAATTTTAAGGTGGTTAGTATCCCTTTGGAACATTTTAATCCAATGATTGACCTTCTTTCAGGTGCCTCCAATTCTTGTCCAGAAGATATTTACTCAAATGTTCTCATATATCAATGTACAGATTTTTAATAGGTAAGTTACTCTTATATTTGTCAGTAAATATTTCATAAAGTTAAATATGACAGGATTAACTCGTGGCTGATTTATTGCTTGATTCTGCTGCAGCCTTCTTTTTCGTCGAGAGTGCTGCACCTTCAACAATGGCCAATATGTGAAGAATGGGCTAGCTGAATTGGAGCTATGGTGTAACCTAGCAAAAGAAGAGGTACTGTCTCAAACTTACCAGCAGTGAAAGGTTAATTTTCAATTTTTTCCCTCCCTTCCATCTTGAAAATAGTTTTGGTTGTTCCGTTATTCTTTCTTTTGATCATTGCTGGTTGATGTTTCAACTCATTGCAGTATGCTGGCTCATCATGGGATGAACTCAAATATATTAGGCAGGCTGTAGGATTCTTGGTACGTTTCTCGGTAGTGTTGCTAGTTATTGTTCAAATCACTCCGAGTGGTAATCATACGAAGACTGGAAATATTAATAACCATTATTCTTTATATTTGTTATGCTTTGTGTGTTAAATATACAAGGATTATGAAAATAAAAATATTTCTGTATTCATCAAGAGGAATATAAGACCAGATAAGAGAAGAAATGTGACGATGTTAAAAATTTTGCAACTGTTAACATCATTATACACAAATACAACAGATGGAGCAATTGTGTTAACTCTTAGATAATTAGACATTATAATGAAATTGGCATGGACTTCCCTTTCTTGCTTATGTCCCGTCACAGATTTGTGAAGTGTTTTGCATTGCTTGTCAACCTGTAGGTTGTAACTTGTATGCAATTGAATTGTTCAGAAGTACCCAAACTTTGATTTTTCATTGAGCAAGTGGCAACATTTCTGACACTCATTTGTTTAAGGAATTATGAAGGCTTGCTTTTGTTGAAGTTTCCGTTTGAGAAAAATGTAGTGACCTGATTTCATGATGACTTTTTCCTATACAAAAATGGTTATTAAGTAAATTATTGGGCACGGTACTGAATTCAAATTGGTAAATGGCTATTCACACACCCTTTTTACCTCCCACACAGCCTTGTTAATTTTTGTCCATTGATCTTCTTCAATTCATTCGATGTGATGGCTGGAAATTGAGAGGGGCGTGTGAGAGGTGAAAATCGGTGTGGATAGCATCACCCATTGGTAAATTCATCTGTTAATCCTTTTTCATTTGGTGGTTAACTAGTTCTGAATTGAAGACTTATTTGATCTCTGCAGGTTCTACACCAAAAGTCCAGAATCTCCTATGATGAACTAACAAATGACCTATGCCCTGTAAGTCTCTCTGCGAAACTGGAAGATGAAATGAATTATTAGTCCGCATGTGGTTGAAGCTGCGGAATTGTTAATAGATTTCGGAGCATTTATAAATGAACTTAATTTTCCAGTTTGCACTGTCTCTTGATCATTTATGCTTCTCTCTTCAGGCATTGAGTGTTCAACAACTTCATAGAGTATGCACACTATTTTTGGATGACGATTACAACACTCAAAGTGTTGCCCCTGATGTGAGATGAGAAAACTGAAAACTTGATTGGAAACTGCAAAGCTTAATCCGTAATAGTCTGACATAATGAAACTACTTTCTTTTGCAGGTCATTTCCAGCATGAACTTTCTAATGACAGATGAATCCAGCGGTGACGATAGCAGCTCCTTTTTGCTGGATGACAATTCCAGGTTAGGAAGTTTCTTTTCTTCATTTTGTTTCCGTTTATAAAAGCTGATGTTGGAAACTTCTAACCATGCTTTGTGAGTGTAGCCTTCCTTTCTCAATTGAAGATATATCTGGTTGCATGCAAGACCAGAGCTATTCAGATGTAAAACCTCCTGCAGAGCTTTTGGAGAATCCAGACTTCCACTTTTTACAGGAGTAAGGCGGTCACTTCCACAACTTTCCTCTTTGTGGTACACGTTTTGACAAGGATTTAACCGAAACTTCAGTTCTTTCAAGATCTGCCCCAAATTTTTTGCCACTTCAGGTGCTCATCTTCATTGTAACTTCCATTGTCCTGGGTGTAGAATTCTTATATCCAGTTAGAATTGTTAAATTATTTTAGGCTGGTTCGGATAGATAGAGGGGCAGGATAGGCTCCACAGCTTGATTTCATTCCATAACGGGACATCGATGCAGCATTCTTTATAGGGATGGTAGCAGGGAAGAATATTGTGAGTGTAGTTTGGGTGGGAGGAGTTGATCTCAAAAACTACTGCTTCTGCCACAAATCTTCATTTGTACAAAGTGGTAGAATGTATTACAGTACAAGGTACATATAGTGGATTTATTTGCCTCAATGCTTTGAGCAAAACCTATTGCAGAAACAGCTATTCTTCCTTATATTTTTCTTCTTGCTCTTTTGGTTCTCCGTAGAAACTGTAATTGAACTTTTATTGTGGACTTGGTGTATTATATACATATCAGAAATGTTCTCTTCGTCCTGACGTGATCAAGGAATGTGGCCACTCACCTGTGGATTTGATATCAAGGGTGAAGAATAAATGAATGCGCTTTTAGTGTATTATTCTGAACTCTTGATATCTAATCCAAAGATTGATGACCATAAATCCTTAGATTTGAAGGCAAGTGTTTTAGAGAACAAAACTCGTACAGAATGTAGAAGTTTTGAATGGTAAAATCATTTTTCAGCATTATGTTTTGCAATTTTTGACATCATTGCAGAGCAATAATAATTTGAATATCAAGGCCACATGAAGGCTAGACAGGGTCTAGGAGAAAGGTTCTATATTTTGTGAGGAAGAGAAAGCTTAGGGAATTTGATAACAGGGTATTTTATGAGTGAATTTTCAAATCTTTTGATTGATTAAGGACATGCAAGGTTTTATCCTCGATCGTGAGTGTTATTTCTTTGTTTTGTTGGATGTGATTATGTGGCTAGGTTTTGCATTGTTTTTCTGTAACGTTTATAATTGTGGATATTCCTTATCGGTGATGTTACAAAAGAATCATCTCTATATAATAATTAGAAACCCTAGCTCTACCAGAACCCTCATCTAAGTCCAGCTGACTTCTTGTCAAAGAAATATTAGGTCTTCTTCAATTCGGAGAACTAGGGTGATTTTTGGAACGGTAAGCATGAATATGATAGTTTGTTGGAATGGTAAGAGAAATAAAAGAAAAATTAACAAAAATGATTCAAATTCTTTGAGTTGGCAGAAATCAGAGTGATCAAAACACAAATAGTAAAATGTCTAACTGAAAACACCCATGTGACAGTGAACAGTTTTCAATTTTTATTTCAAAGATTTGGATCAAAACTCAATTTTTAAATTCAAAATTTTTGGAATCAGAGTAATCATAAAACTTTTTTTATTGTTCTTTTATAACATTTGGTATATGCCTACGTGTAAGTCAATTAATTTTGTAGTATACTATGTTCATCATTCTTAATATATAAGTGTTGTGAAAAGCTATCAATGAACATAATAAAAATACAAAAGGTAAATTACAAAATAGATAACACATAATTAAAAAAAAAAAAAAAACCAAAAGGTAAATTACAAGATACATTAGTTTAGTAAATCTCTAAGTTCAGAAATATTCGGATTCAAAATATTTGGGCTTCAAATCGAAATAGTAAAATTGAAAATTCCATTCCAACTTGCACCTCTACTGAGAACTAATTGTTCTAAAACAATTTCTGACACAATACTCTATGTAAACGCTTGCCTTTGACAATTACAAACTTTTATTAACTAGGCTTACTTAGGCTCTGTTTGGTATTGTTTTTTTTTTTACCAAAAAACTGTTTCACTTTAAGCAATAAAAAATATTTTGTAAAAATAAAATATCCTTCTTATTTTAATACCAATGGTCTTTAGACAACAGTTTTTAAAAGCATCCAGTAGGCTGCTTTCATAAAAGTGCAGTTGTTAATGAATTTTTCCAATTCCTATAAACCCTCACTTGTATTTAAACTAACATTGTTAATCTTTCACACACATTTTCTCTAACCACCACCACCACTGCCATTGCCCCTACCATCATTGGTACCTCTGGACTCCCAACCACCACACTTAAATATTGACACCACCACCATGTCACCACCATTATTGCTGCCATAACTACCACCACCAACGCTGCAACTACCATCGTTGCCACCACCACCACCATTTTTGCTACCGTCACTGTCACCACAACCGCCACTATCACCATACCTCCAGACCCCAATCGCCACATCCTAATATTGACACCCCCACCGCCGCCATTCCCACTAGGGCACTGCCATGCCCATTTTTCTTATACACAATTACAATACTTTTACATTAAAAATTATCAAACTTTTATAATGTTTTTCATACTTACAACACTTAAAAATAAAGTTTATCAAACATTTTACTACTTTATTTTACTCAAGTGACACTTTATTGCAGTGATGAAGATGAGTGTTGCCTTTACACCACATTGTGGAGTGTTGCCCTTACACCATGGTGTGTGTTCGATTACACAATAGTTTAGTAATATTTTTCTTCACTTATAAAATGAAAGATCTTAGTTCCAAATTTACTAGATGGCAAGGTCAATACCAAATTATTTTTTTCAATCATATATTTCTGAGCCACTCATCCAACTTGATTTGGGTAAATCTTAAAAAAGAACAAAATTTTCTGTGGATATGGATGTATAATTTTCGGTTGGAGTATTATATTCTTATGGGTGGGTTCACCTGGTTAAAGAGATCCTCTCTGGATCTCTTCCATTAAGGCCACTGGATCAAGTGATCTGGGTCTTTGAGATTTTATCCAACGGTCAATCATTATAACTTTTAAGGGATCACAACAGGTTGGTCATTAGATAAAATTTCAAAAACCCGAATTACTTGATCCGATGACCTTGGTAAAAGAGATCCGACCGTAAATTATTTAGCTTGGCAGCACATGCTTTGGTAGAATTTCTTAAAAGCAATCGTTGACCAATTTATGAGCATTTGCTTAACCCCTAGCTCCAAACCTCATGTGATCACATGTGTCCCCATGTAATTCACATCAGATTCTCTCCCGCAAAGGGAACAAATTTGACTCGATTTTAAATATACATATTCTGATACCATTTCAGTTATTACAGTTGTGGAGTTAGTTGCATTTGTATATCTGTATATCGTACTACTGTTTTCTTAAACAATTAAGAAATTAGCTTAGGGGCATGGAGCATGCATGATCGATGATCCGTTTTCTGGTATATACATGAATCATATGGAATTAATGTTGATGACTATCATATTGTTGTACATTTTCATTAATAATTTAATGGGGTCAAACTGAAGTTTCATTTAAATAAAATTAGATTACAAGGGAGAGATTAACTCTAATTAATACTAATTTATATGGTTCCAGGATCAAGTTATGCAACAGATGGATTTTTATCATTGTAGCGAAAATTGTAGTTCTTATTTGGAAGTTTTGTCAAATTTAGGGGGAGTATCTAAAACTATACTTGCTTGATCTTAATGTATTTTTTTTTCCCTTAGGATTTTTGCTATCTAACTAGGTTTTAACGAGACACTAATTTTGACCTGGTCATACCTTTATGTGTGTTCTACTTGTGTCTAGAAGACGTTTAATTTTGACTTGATGCAACTTCTCACTTTTCTTCTTAAACTATGAGTTTTATCCTACCATAGGTTTTTACCATAGCGAGGTTTTGTGAGTTTTACAACCTATGCATTCTTCCATATGATTTGAGACTCACATTCGCTCATTGTGTTGACGACTTCATCAACTGAACTTATTTCATCGCTAAAGACCTGATGTGACATATTTGTTTGAGTATTTACACACTCAATGGGGAGTGTTGCATTCCTCATTTGGTTAGGATTGTGATTGTGTATTCCTATTGGGATTCTATAGGATCTTTTAGATAGTGTCCTATTTCAGTTGTATTCCTTGAAATGCAAGGATTCTCTCCTCCTTACTACTATAAATAAATGCATAATGAGGTGAGATAATACACACCTCAAAATTCACAATTTCTCCTCTTGCCGCCGCACCCTCTCTCTATCTTCCTCTATACATCTCAGACAAGTACGAAACTTTCTATATTTTGGTTCACTCTAACCAAGTGTTTAATTTCACCCATATATATTCAGTTAAATAGGCTTACAACAATTCATAATTTGTAAGATACATCTCAGAGAAGTACGAAACTTTCTATATTTTGGTTCAATCTAAGCTAGTGTTTAATTTCACCCATGTATATGTACTAAAAGAAAAAAAAACGAAAATTTCACCCACGTATAAGCTGCTTTCAAAATCATCCTATTAATGTTTCTGTTCGATTCCATTGTACAAGGATTTATATTACTTAACTGTGGACATAATATAAGCCCCCTAGGGGTCATTGCCCCTTTCAAAAATTTAACTAATGTAAAAGTAGATTCTAGCTAAAGAAACACCTAGTTAGTCTCCAGGTTTCCGTCGTTTACCCACTCTGATTGAAGATATCTAAATGTGGCACATTACATAATTATTTAGTTACGACGTGAAAGCAAAAAGTACATAAATTTTTTCTATTTGCTTATTACATTCACATTAATGCTTCCAGTTACAACAACTTCAGCAAAAGTGTATTCACTAGTATGAATTTTGTTACAAATCGGTTGTCCGATTGAATGGGAATGGATGAATAATAATTTGGTTGTAAATTTTGAGAAACACGTATTCATTTTCCTTAAGTAATAATGAGCTTATTGTTCAACGTTTCTAAAACATAAAACCTTGTCGAGGTAACGGATTTTTCAGTTTCAATTGATTGAAGCCAAGTTGATAAGGAATGAACTATGAAAAGTTGGATAAATGTGAGGGAGTAGATACCAAATAAGATATGTGCGACTGGATGGAAACATGGAATAATTTATTTCCGAAGATATATATCATATGCAACAATTATTTCAGTATAGAATGAGAGCATTTGTGCTTATGGAGGAGTCAAAACGAGAGATCACATAGTCAAATCAAATTAGTGAAAGATTTGGGAAGCTATGGGAATGTGCTTGTGCAAATGATGGCTTATATATGGAGGCTTAATTTTGGGTAATTTTTCATTTCTTCTTCTCATGTTCCATGTGACCATTATTTCAATATGAAAAAACAATTGAAACCCCACATTCACAAAGCAAATCAATGGGGATTAGATCTAGATCTCTCTCTCTCATAAAACATTTATATGTATTATATATATATATATATATATATTATGTATATGTGTATGTGTGTATACGTATTTTTAAGACTTGTATATAAGTTACATCAAAGAGAAGGAGCTAAAGATTGCTAAAAATTTAAACTAATTAGTACATTGTTAAGGCAGTCTTGTGACTAACG